TTAACAATCAATACCAACAAATATTTCGAAACAAGCGATTGACATAACTTAATCGTCCACTCCCTTACCAACGCACCCAAAACATTATTTCACAAATAATTTAACTAAAATAACCTAACCTAGCCCACGATCAGTTACAAACAGCGAACAAATGCCATCAACTGGCGCCAAATGGTTGGCTGATGAGTGCCCGCTATCGCCCTGACCAGGTGCGGCTGGCTGACCGGCGCTACTCGCCGACCCATCGGCGGCCGCCCCCCCCCCCCCCCCCCCGCGCTGCGGGATTTCTGACGTCACCATCGGGCGTCCGACAATCGATAGGGCGTTTATCGACGGACGGCCGGCCGGCGGCGCCGTCACAGTCCGCGGCCACGTCACGTAATGTCACTGTTCCGTCACTAACCGAAACACAACACCGGCTGCATACCCGGGTCACTGTGGAAACACCACGAGTGGAAACAAAACCCCTCCTGGATACACGGGTCACTTTGGATACGTTACTGATGAAGCAATAGCTCTGGGTGAAAACAGACATGTGCAAATAACTGAAACACGATCCCGGCTGAATACCAGAGTCACTATGGATACACCACGAATGGAAACAGTAGCCCTTGATGGACACAGAGTCACAGACTTTTGTAACTGATGGAAACACAGCCCTGGCTGGATACAGAGCTCACTGTGGATGCGTCAGGAAATGGGAACAGTAGCTCTGAATTAAAACAAACGCGTGTAGGTGGTCAACGGAAACACGAGCTCCACTGGATGCAAGGGTCACTGTGGAGTGTGGATGCGACACCGATAGAAACAATAGCCCTTGGTGGATACCATGATTCAGCAATGGCGGTAACACAGCCCTCGGCTGGAGCACGGGTACGTGAACGATTGAAACAAAAATCCGAAAAAAACACAGGGAATCGTCACGGAAGGAAACACAACCGCTATCTGGATACAGCATAGGGATGAGTTACAAACCGAAAGAAAAACTGATTGGATAATTGGATACAGACATGTGTCAAAAACGAACTAACAAACTTGGCCGGATATGGGGTTTCGCGATTCGTCACATTAGAAATACAGCGCCGTCTGAGTACAAAAATATGCTACTAATACCGATAAACAAAGACGGTGGATACAATAATTCGTTAGCAACGGACTTACAGTCCCAGCTGTCAGCCATAGAAGGGTTCAGAGACTATGGTAACCGTACTGAGTTGACAGAATCCCACTTCCTGAATAGGAGAATCCACCACTAACAGAAACACAGTCCTCGGCTGGATCAGGGAGTCGTTACGAACGAATTTGCAACCCCAGCTGTTGAAAGGATCAGTCACTGACAGAAAACGGTAATGACGGAAACACATCCCCGTCTAGAATCGGATCAGGGAGCCGCTGCACTGATGGAAACAGGCCAGATAGGCCTACAGGGATTCGTTGCATTTAAAACAGGATGCAGAACACGGCACATATTGCCTAGCTAATTTCCATTTTCCCTCATCTTGTCAGTCACGATCCCAGCCTCCTTGTGTAGTTGTAACGGCTAGGACCGTTAACTCGGCACGTGGTACCCCCCCCCCCCTCCCGTCACTCACCAGGTGGAGCACGGTGTTGACGATTTCCTTGTCCTCCATCTGACCGACCTCGACCAGGCCGATCAGCACGGCGAACCGCAGGTCGTCCGTCATCGTCGAGCGCATGATGTCCGACGAGGTGCGGATGCCGCCCTGCTCGCTGGCCTCCGGCTCGCCCTCGGCGGCCGCCATGGCGCGCGCGCGCCGAGCACCGCCGGCGGCGAACCCACTCACTCACACACGCACTAGGAGCGGTGTCTGCACGCACCGGGTCGGTTCACGGTGCCGTCACCGCGACCATCGCACTGGCACACACCGGTCGACCACAGCGGGCCGCACTGCACTGCACTGGACTAAGACGCCGCGCGGCAGGAGCGAGAGTTGAGACACGCCACTAGTGAGGCTCACACAGGAGAGTCACCAGTAGCAGTCAGATGTGGCTCGGTAGCTTCAGAGGATGGTAGACAGATTTATCCTGGAAGGAGAGTGCCAGTCAGTTGACATGTCACAATTGATCTTTATTCAACAGAAAAAAGAGACAAAGGTAGTTGAGACACACCTACATCAAAATGCTTTGGTTTTCTTTTTTAAACTTTTTAGGCTCAAGCAGCATGCTCAGTCATATGCCACTGAAAACAGAATAAATGTTCTAAGCCATGCAGCTTAAGCAGTTACCTCTCAGATTAGCAGCCCAGATGAGCACACATCCATCGTAACTTATTTCTAGCTCAGCTCAATGGTACTTCATGCTCATCCTTCATCCTGATTCATGAACATCATTCAGCAGCACTTCACTCAAAGTTATGGTCCTTGTTCATTTTTCAGTCAGGTGTGATCTGTCATGATAAGGATAACCATTTGAGCTTCCTAACATTTCAATATAAAAAGCATGTCTGATTTACGTATGGATTGTTGCAATGAGCCAATGACCACTAGGAGTAGGAACCACAATTGTTAAAGATAGGTAGGTACAAAATCTTACTTGAACAGCCCTTAGGATATCAAGCCTGTATGTGTATGCTCTATTACAGAAACAAAATTACAAATGCAAATAAAAGATAAGCACTATTCCCTGGACTGCTATAAGAGTAAGAAAGCAGGCAGCTTGAATTCGGTAACATTAGCTTGCAAAGATCATTTGGTATATGTCAAGTTGATACGAATATGTAACAGCAAAAATTTTAGGTTTTAGGTTAGGTTAGGTTAGGTTAGGTTGTAGGTTTGTAGGTTTAAGGTTGTAGGTAGGTAGGTTTGTAGGTTTTAGGTTGTTAGGTTGTAGGTTTGTAGGTTGTAGGTTGGTAGGTTATGGGTAAGTAGGTAAGGTTAGGTCAGGTTTGATTATGTTTTTTCTTTTATTTGCGAGACATATGAGTATCATTTTTTTATTCAGGATGTCAAATAATGTAAAGATATTAAAAATTTATCAATGAAATCTGCTTAGGACTTTATCTTGACATTTACTGATCATTTCACCTTTTACATCTACTTTCAGTGTTTTAAGTAGAATCAGTATTTTGTCGACGTGGTGTACACTGTCATTGTTCTTAGCTAGGTATTACAATTGATGCCAGCATGCTCTTATGTAGGTATCTGAATAAGCTTTCACGTGCCATTTACCGACTGTGGAAAATGGCTGTGTTTCATAGCCAAAGTTTGCAATGGCTATGATTGCGATTGTGACTAGGTTACTGCAACTGGGTGCCAAAAGTATCTAACCTCAGATCTTACAACATGACATGAAAACCGCTGGCATATTACCCACAAATTGACATTGGCTCTGAAAGCAGGCCGTTGATGTTTATATTTACTTTGCGACCAGTCACCAATTTACTTTTGATGCCATCCCCAAGTAAGAAGCAAATCACATGATATCCTTTGACCTCTTCATGGCACAAACAAGTTTAAAAGCAATTAATTCAAGGTACCTACAATTCAGGTTCAGTCAATTCAACGTAAAGCTTAAAAAGCTTACCTGACCATTCAGTCTCACCCACAACTTCGACACGATCTTCACACACGATAAGACGAAAAGCTGATCAAGTGGCTATACCCGTCAGATTTTTGCAACCAACACGACACCCCCACTTCGTAACCTCTCCCACTGGAGATTTGTTTGTGTCCTTTTCCGTGTTTCGTGTCGTCGGCAACTGCGCCATATTCGTCCCATCTGGCTTGAAGTATAGAGATGGACAATTAGTAAGGCAAAACTAGTGGGAGATTGTGCAAGTACCAAAACAAAAAAGAGAGGCTCTTCACATTTTTTTCATAAGTGATTAATATTGATTACGGTTAGGGCGCCGCCTGATAAGCATTTTTCCCACGGCGACGCTGGCTATAATAATGATAATTGATAATAGGAAGTTGAACTGAGGATAAGCCTTGTTTTGTTGTAGGAATAAGGAAGGTATACCTATATCTTTTGACTTTTGGGCTTAATTGGCATAGGCGGATTCAGGAGGACCATCTACGGACGCTGTAAGTAGGTTACGGTTAGAAAATGAGTGAGGGGCGGGCCAGAGTGCCCCCCTGTCCCCTGGCAGGGGCGCCGCCGCGCCCGTACATTCGCTATATTTGTTTAGTTCATGTAATTATTGCCTGTTCAGTTCAACCTTTTTATAAGATTCAGTGTTACTCGAGCTGAGCCGCTCCTCGTCAATAAGCATGCTTCTACAAAGTAGGTGTTCGTAGCGGCAGGGTACTTGCTGACTGCATTAGTACTCACTTCCGTGCAAGCTCCTGTGCTAACAGATCTTGACCTTCTCTAAGTAACTTTCTAGTATAATTTTGTATTAAAAATACTGAAATGTTTCTTGAGATTCTTTTTTATTATCATGCTTTTATCTAGAAAAGCTTGTTAAAGCTGCTTGGAATCTTTTTGAAATATTTCTTAGCTTTATATTGAACAACAGAAATGCTATTTTCTTGCACTTTGGGCTAATATTAGGCTAGAATAGATGTACATTTCGTTGAAATTGAATTTTTACATTATTTTTATTGTACCTGGGGTCGAATCCATGAAGAAATCTATATTTGTATGTGGAATCTGGTTATGTTCGCGGAAAACAGCTAAATTTATACTATAAAGTGCTGCTTTTAGTTTAAAGTCAATGATTATACTAGCCGTATTAGCCTTTGTTTACATGCACCAGCTGATAGATCACGTGACCTCAAGGTGAAAGGTTCTATTGTCAAAGACGTAACACACTACATACTTATTTCGGTGAAAAATATATGACAAGTAAGTTAAAATCTGAGCATTCCCGACAAATGATATAAATTCAACAACCTAACTTGTGCTTTGTTGGAAATTCATGCAACTCAGTCAGGAAAATTGCCTACTTCTTTACGAGTAATGTTACGTAATTGAAAAGTGATCGATGATTGCGCAGTGGGGTCTCTCGGGTCTCTCCATTGTGTTGTGTCAGTTTGTCCTTTAGCTTCGAGTGTGTTGTTTGTGTGACTGACTCATTTCTTCTTTAACTTATCTCTCCGAAGGAAAGCCTTGCTGGATCCAGAATGTCTTCTCCTAGCGCTGGCAAGAAGAGAATGGACACGGACGTTATAAAACTGTATCCTTTCTCATGTTCGGGACTGTTACGTCAGTAGGCGGAACTATGGTCAAGCGTACCCATTTTCGGGAACGCATTTTCGTTCCCATGTTTGGGAACGATAAACCCAAATATGGGAACGCCATGTAGGCATTATTTAAAACAAGAAAAAGAACCGTTAAATGACGTCCAAAAAATATAAAACGATCGTGAACCGCCCGATATTTGTCTCAATATTGTTGGGAAAGAGTTTGATATTGTAAGGCCCATCGCAGTTTCAAATCGTTCGCCTATTTCTAAAGCAGTCCATCATCCGGGCCGCGAGCCCAAATTTGGGAACGCTCTCGTACACTGGCGCTGCAAGCGTTCCTTATTATGGGAACGGCGTACCCAAAATTGGGAACGATTTCACCGACGCCTTTCAGGGGCTCTTTTCATTAACAAGCATCACGTCCAACGCCGCAAATTATTGTTAACGCAACAATCATCAGATGACCTTTCCGGCAAGACCGTCGCATGTTTCGCCCGGTCTTCTGCGCTTTTATTCCCGTCGATCTCGCAGCGGGCACGCCCCCCTCTGCAGGATTACGTAATTCACAACGCTCAGCGATGTTCAACAAGGTCTTCCATGCCTATATCCACCGTCCGCGCCGAGGGTGGAGACATGTCAAGCACCTGTCTGTTTATCACCGATAGTTGACGAGCACAAGTAAGTATCCAAAAATGGGAACGCTGAAATGTTTCACTCTCAAAACACCTAGTCCCAATATAAATCTACTTTTTTCCTTTCTTAATGAGTGTAAGTGGCAAAAGGCCTGGTAGGATGGGCACGAGAAATGATCAAAATTAGCATGAAAATTATAAATAAGGCACATAGGGCGACCTGCATAAAAGAAATTCCCCAAAACGATCGTACCCCCAAAATACCGAAGGCAAAAACCACGCTCATGACGCTCCTTAAAAGCAACGCTAAACAGCTAGCATCCAAATAAAATATGTCTTTCAGGGTTGATAAAATACAGCTGAATAATTTTAAACCACTTAAACTGAGTTTATAACAGTAGTTCGGTAAGTTCACTCGCGTTCCACGCGGTCGTCCGCCCCGACACCAAAAGTCAACAATATTACCTTGGGACCGTACGCGTCTTCGCTTGCATTTGTCAGGATCTGGTGTCGATAGTATGAAAGTTCATAACCAGGCGAAAATTATTATAGTTGACCTCAAACTAAAAAATGCTTCATTTTCCTTAAAATTGCATGCTAAATGTCGTATAACCCATATTTCCACCATTCTGTCATTTTTAAAAAATCATTAAAAATATCATTCCACGGTCAATTTCCTTGTTCCACGGTCAGATTAAAGATAACTTTATGGAGATTTAGTAGAGACGTTAATTAGCATGCACTTTTTCGAGACGTGATGCACTAATGAGTTTTAGTGCGCGAACGGCCGAAAAATTGCCTTCCGTAGTCATAAATGGGAACGCTCGTTCCCATATTTGGGAACTCCGTTCCCAAAAATGGGAATGTTCCTATATTTGGGTACTCATGACCATAGTTCCGCCTACTGACGTCTGTCGATTGAGACTGATGCTTTTTTGTTTGTTCTCAATTTTCTTGACATCCATGTCTATGCATGACTCTTTAATTTGCTTTTTCTTCATGCTCTGCTCATGCAGTTAAACTCTGGTAGGTGTTTCCTGTGTATTATTACCATTAAGTCCTGACTCCTGTTATGATAAGCTGTCTCACGTTGACGTCTGATGAATGTTGGTGTGTTCTTATTTTTATTTACAATAATACTTAATATTGGTTTTAAATCAAACAGGAAAGGGTCATGAATGAAGGGTTTGATTGAACATCATTGATGTTTAGAGAAACACTACCAACATCACGAATAATGACGTATGACTGCATTTTTCCTCCGTCCATTTTATTGTATGATGCACAAACAGTGCATAGGACACAAGCTCAACAACCTAACATATTTTCAGGACTGAAAACTAAGCTTTCATGGCCTTTTGCATTATGCTTGATTTAGTATGCAGAATTTCTATAATTCTAAATTTTCCTTTCATGCATTTCAAGGCCAATCCAATCTGGGTTTAGTAGACTTGAACTTCTTTTAAGGATACCTTCCTATTGAAAAGTGATTTAAAAGTTAGCTCAAGTATTTAGAGGATAATAAATGGCTTGTTTGTTAGGCACTGACTTAAAGTATTTTTATTGTTATAACATGGCGTGGATCTTGTGGTTCAGTCAGGCTAATGTGAGCAGGCACGTACCCAGGATTTCGCCCAGGAGGGGGCCACCTGCTTTCGAAGGGGCCCCCAGGTCACCCGGGGCCCCCATGCGACCAGGTCCCCCGGCTGCCAGGGGCCTTCTAGGAGACTAGGGGCCCCCAGGCGATCAGGGGCCCATGCGATCAGGCCCCCGGCTACCAGGGCCCCCTAGGCGACTAGGGGCCCCAGACGATCAGGGGCCCCCATGTGACCAGGCCCCCGGCTACCAGGGGCCCCCTAGGTGACCAGGGGCCAGGAAACCGGGAGCCCTCGGATGACTGCAAGGGCCGATCGGGTCATCAGGGGCCCCTCGGGTAACCAGGGGCACATAAATGAAACTTTGATATCAATTTTTCTTTTGAGTAAAAGACGTTTTATCCAGTGTTTGAGAAAAAATATCCCGGGGCCTGAGGGGCCCCCTGAGCGCCTTCGGCGCTCAGGAGGGGGCCATGGCCCCCGTGGCCCCCCCCTTGGGTACGTCACTGAATGTGAGATACAAACATGTTGCCTATGTGTGATTAGAATTCCATTATTATTTACAATGGTTTTCTTTCATATATGTACAATATGGACTGTAGATTATATGGATACAACTGTCAGTTTTTTTAGTGTATCAGTATGGCTTCTCATAAAAAATGAATATAATTCCTTAAGCAATTCCTCAGGATTGAAAGCAAGCATGAAGTGACAATAATGGGAGGGCTAAATGAATTTTGTGTCAAGTTCTATGGACCAAAAGAAAGTGAGTATGAAATGTCTCACTGCAATAGTTCAGGGCTGCTATAGACTCTACAGAGTGTTGATTACTTGATTGTGTGCTTGAAAGCAATGGTTTTGTTCAGTTTCACATTTTCTTACACTGTAAATTGTATTAGCTTAATGTTTGAAAGAATGCTGGATAATTAGTTCAACATTAAAGATGTCTCCACTTTATTTGCAGTGCATGCTTCATTGATCAAAGCCAAGCATTAAGTAGCCATTAGATGAATAATTTAAGTGTCAAAATGCATGGAATTGGACATGGAGCCAGAGAGAAGGTTATGGCCCCTTGAGTTCTCAGCAAACATTCCTAAAACTTAATGAACTTAAGAGTGGTGCAAAAATCATGTGGGTGTGTGGAGCCAGTTTTTCAGTTGACCTTCTAGCTTGCAAATATTATTAGTTTTTAGACTAGAATGGATAGGAATGGGAAGGGCAAATAAATATCTAGTTTGTGATCTGTCAGCTGTCTCCACAATATTTGTAATGTCCCTGCTGAAGGCTAAAACCTGAGCAAGCAAGGACAGAATATAAATGCTAAAATGATATTACTAGCTATGTAGCTGCAAGCTCTTTCTGATAATTGTTCAGGATCTAGATCATGCCAACAGTTTGTGAATTATGCTTAGAGATAAGATACCATTTTGCTCACATCTTTGCGCCCAGCTATACATGTATCATACGAATTGATTTTCAGCTGTGCTTTAGTTCAGGTGCGACAGACACCACACCCTGTCTGTCTGGCAGCTCCGTACGAGGGCGGCGTCTGGAGGGTTCGTGTGCTGCTGCCCGAGCACTACCCGTTCAAATCGCCCAGCATCGGCTTCATGAACAAGGTGTACCATCCCAACATCGACGAGATGTCCGGCACCGTGTGTCTGGACGTCATCAACCAGGCCTGGACGGCACTCTACGGTCAGTGGATGAGGAGGCGCTGCGGGGGCGCAAATAGGAGCAATTAATTGGAGGGTCCTGTTGGGGGTTTTCCGCGTAGTTGATGGATGATAGATTGTGCCGACAGCTGACGCTTATTAATCGTACTTCGTGAACGATTTTGATTACGATTTGGTACTGATACTTTTTTACTTTGGTGTACGTTGAAATGTGACATTGATTTTCACCTTTCTCTCATCCAGCAGTTTTTCCCGATAAATTTTATGTTCATTTTGCGATTGCAATGTGCAAGTCGGAAACGCAGATATCTAAAATTGTATTTAATGATCGATAAATGTTCGAAGGGTGCAGGCCATCTGAAGGCTGTTACCGTCTTGACCGTGACACCTGTCAGTTTCCTTCCTGATCTTTGGGTAAATTACATACATCCCTCTCACTTATCATCTGAAGGAAGTAAAAAGTCAACATGCGGCCATAAAGCTACAGATCATAGGGCTTGTAACGCCGTCGCTCATATTTATCGTGAACCTGACGAGCATTTGTGGCAGGTGCCGTTCCCATCGCTCGACCGGGCACTTAAGGTGGGATACTGACATGACCTTGCTGCTGGAGCTCCCCAGTCACACATTCAATGCTGCGAAAAATGCTGGTTGCATTGTATTGCTAACAGCTCTTCATTGATCTAATGATTTTGCTGTCAAAATTTTGACGAGTTTTTTTCAGTTCGGGGGCTTGCTACTAAATGTAACGTGCATTTTTACTCCAGAGGTTGATCGTGCGCCCTATTTACCATCCTCGTGAATCGATGCCAACCGGCTTCTCCCGTGTTTCAGATCTCTCCAACATCTTCGAGTCTTTCCTGCCGCAGCTGCTGACCTACCCGAACCCGATCGACCCACTCAACGGGGACGCGGCAGCCATGTACATGCACAAACCTGAGGAGTACAAACGCAAGGTGGCAGGTGAGTCCTGCGGGGGGGGATAGTCGCTAGCATTTTGTGTGTCAGGGTGTGGTGTGAAATGGTGAAATAGAAAGGACGGAACATGTTTGTGCGAGACACTCAGACAGTGAGATGGAGCATGGTTAGGTAGGACGGCATTGTTACCTACCGTACATGTGTAAGTAACGCATAGAAATGTAACGTGAAGCTATTAAACGAAATATTATGCTGGCAAACATAGTTGCGCAAAATTGATTATTGAATACAATTGCGATGCTCGTTGCGATTTGGCCATCGGGCCCGGGCCCTGACACTTGACGGTGAATTTGGACGCAAAATACGGCCATCAAGTCGCTAGAGCTGCAGCTCAGTAGCTTACTGAGTACTGAGTAGCTTACTTCATATTTCATGCAGTTGAAACAGTTTTGGACAGGCTGTCAGCCGCTGCGTAGACGTCGCGTAGGACGATCCGACCCTCACGGAATCGATCAGACTTTTGGAGGGCGTTGCTCGGTTTCACGCCATGCAACTACAAGCGCAGCGGTCTTTTTTTAAGTCACCCGCTGACTCACGCTGTCTGCGTGGGCCCGGCCGCGCGGTCCACCCCGAACTATTCGACCGTCTGCAGCGGTGGCTGGCTGCACCGGTCGTTGACCCCGGGGTGGGGCGAGCCGTGACCGGCCACTGCAGTGCTGTATCGGCCTCAGGGGCGGCTCACTGGGGTGGGGCGACCGGCCCATGTCGATACCTGGCCGCGGTGTAAATGGCTCTGTGTACAGCGGGTGGGGAGAAGTTAGTGGAACCCAGGGACATAGCTTCGTGGTATATGGCTCCCTGCTGTACCCTTCGCTCGATGCTGGAGTGCACCGAGTTAGTCATACCTGGTGACTAATAATGACATCAGGGGATATGGAGAAGGGCGTGTTTATTTTTAGCACGCTTCTGATTCTCGCATGCTCTCACTACTGAGCTGAGTTTCGCTGTTGAGGAATACCGTCAGCCATTTTGATAAACATGGCTTTGCCTGTCATGGCGCGATATGAAATTAGTGTCTGTGTCGCAGCGCGGCTGACAAATACGGCTGTCAGATTCCGTGGACACGGGCTTTGATCCTGGGGCTGCCGTGAGGTGCGACGTTTCGGTCGGCTGCGCTCTTCCCCACGCGAGCTGACGTGTGTGCCGGACCAGTCCCTGTTTTCAAACGGCAGTAACTCGTACCGTGTTACTGCGAGCTTTACCGTGGACGGAGCACAAAGAGCCATTAGGCGGACCTGCGGGCGACGCTGTGGCGGCAGCCTCGACTACAGGTGGTGTTACGTGCGCCATCGCTCTGAAATCAGCAGCTGGGAGCCGTATAACCCACTGTCCTGCGCGTCCATGGGACAGCGATCCACCCCGACTCCCGCCTCTCGCCCCGCTGGCGCGCTGCCTCAGTGGTCGTTGACGCAGCTGGGAGGCTCTATGGCACGACGCTCACGCGTGAACGGCCGCTGTGCGCTGACCTTGGCTCACTCTGGAACCGCCCGACTGCGCGCGTCGCTCACCCCTCCCCCCGGTCCCCCGCTCTGTTGACAGAGCACGTGCGGCGCTACGCCACGGAGGAGGCGATCGCTCCGCCGCCGCAGGTTTCCGACGACCTCTCCTCGGACTCCGAGTCGGAGCTCTCAGAGTTTTCAGAGGATGAGGCGCGGGACATGGAGCTATAACTGCCGCCTATGTCCGCTGTCCGCCGCTGCTGCTACCGCCGTCACTGTCAGCCGGCCCTGACAAAGGAGAGGGCATAGAGTCATCCTGGCAGGGGAGAAGGGAGGAAATTTATCTGGTAACGGAGGATTGATATCGAAGTCGGGTTCGGGATGTCTTATAGAAGCAGAAATTCGCCAATACCTCTTAGAATAAGAAATTCGCAACAGGCGGACACCAGCTGGCTCGGTCGAAATGAAAACGATATGATGGTTATCGTTGTGCCGCTCTTAGCTTTGTTACGATTGTTTGTTAACCATGACATGAGCAATGCAACTGCATTTCGGGATATTGTTTGGTGGAAACCGATACTTACTTCGGTTGCATGTGTTCAGCGCTCAGACTGAAACGTTTTCATAACCTGACCGAAATCCAGCAGTGCTACCGCCTGTGGCGCTTCCGTGCTTTAGAACTGAACCAATGTACTTCGAACTCTGGACTTGTTACATCTTTCGCCTAGTATATTTTCGCGACCGGGCCAGTTTCTAATTTGGCATTGACGAATTAGAAACCAGACCCCTGCGGTACGCTGCGTACCTAATCGTGTCAAACAAGGGACAGCAAACCCTCGTGATCGCGTCATCGAACTGAACGTGTAAGATTTGACTCTCCCAAACCCGACGCTCCGTCACCACAACGTTCCCTGACGGTGTCCGACTCTATGGACCGAACTGTCATCGACTGGCCTCCCGGCGCCGCAGCGGCAGTCGGCTGGCCGGCGGACCGGTGCCGTGTCAGTGTGCGTGCGTTCGTGTGTCATTTTACTGCTGTTACTGGTCGTCGTGGGTGTGTTGTTGGTTTAGCCGTAAGCAGTGTGGTTTGGGAGGTAGGTAGCTGGTAGTTGCGTGGGTTTCTGTGCGGGCTTGTCCTGATCGCGGGCCGCGGCAGTGTGCGCCGCGCCTTCTCTGTGCTCGTTCAAGTGTTGGATCCCTTTTATTCTTGACTGGGAACTTGCTAGTGCGATGCTGCCAGCGGTGACAGGCTACTCCCGACTGTTTCTACGAATCTCGTATTCTCAGCTATTTGTCCATTAGTTCTGACCCCGGATCTCGGCTTAGCCCTGAAAACCATTAATTGTCGTCCGGCCACCATCTGGCAATATTCCCCGCTCTGGATCGGGATATGAACTACTGCCCATTTGTGCCCTATACCCACTCTTTCAGCCATCGTTCTGCCGTTAGTTTAGCGGTTCAGCCTTCGTATCTTTCCAGGGTTGTTGGCGAAGTCACCGTTCGTCTGTTCCGTCTCCGTCCCGTATTTTTCCGCTATTTTTGGTTCGTCTTGTCCCGCCCCCTCTGCCGTCCGCTCCCGTCCTGTCCCGTGTTCCTCCCTTCCCTGTCCCTTGTGCTCTCTTGTCGCCTTAGCCGTCAGTTCACGTCCTGTGTTTCTTCCTGTCCCGTCTTCTGTCGGTTCCTGTCCCGTGTTCCTCCTGCCGTGTTTCGTCCTGTTCCTGTCCCCCTGTCCGCCGGCGGTACTCGCAGCACTGTAGCCTGTAGTCAGAGTGGTCGGTAGTTGAGTAGTGGCGCGTTGCTCTCCGCTGGGGACCGGTCCACCGCCCGGCCGTGACTGTCAGCTCTAGTGATAAGGTGTGAGCGCGGGCGGCCGGATCGCCCGCCGTGACCGGTAGTGTGCCGTCAGAGTGAGCCCCCAACCCACCCCAACAGAGGTGAACGTCGAACGATGCAAGATAATTATCAGCAGAGGTGAATTATATCGTCCAAGCGATTGTGTTCTGATTGGTATGTGCGTGCTTCTGTGCTTTCGGAGTTTTGCGGGTTCTAAATTTTATGAGAAAACCATGAATGACTGCCCTCGCTTTGAGTTTGTTGGGCACGAGCAATATCGTTTATAACTGATCACTTACTCTGACGCATTCGAAATAGCCACATCAAGGAGTCTTCTAATGATAATTCACGGTGTGTATACTTCTATATTATGTCAGCAGTTTGCGTCTGCCGGAAAACTGCCCCCATCTGTAGTGTGAATATGGCATGTGAAAGTCGGTGGTAAGGTCGCATGCCGTCTAGTTAAGTTGGTTAGCGCTGTCAAGGTGGCGTGGCCTTGTTTGAGCCGCACTACCTTGTCGACCGCAGCCGGCCGGAACCCCACAGGGCGCTGCCGACCCCCGGCGCTGCAGTTTAAGCCTGGAATTCCTCGCATGGCTCCATGTTTTCCGGTATGCAACGTGTTTGCTTTTTGCCGTAACAGCATGTCAAGTCAAATTATTCATTGTCAATCTTGTGGACAAGATTAACCGTTTTCATTGTTTGAGCTTTTCGGACGTTGTTGGTTCAACTACTGAGAAATTGTGTACGTTGGTAAATGCCGCGATTACCAGGTGCGTATCTGCAGTGTCGTGTCGGTGGGCTGCCGACGCGGGTTCGAACCTCGTCCGGTGCCGAACTTTTGGCGCCTCTCATTGTCCCATGTACTGGCTACTGGACCCTTTGTGAAGTGTTTACGTGTAGTATTGGCCGCTCGCCAAGAGCCGCAAGTGTTGTGTACCTAACGCCTCAATATATTTACAATAAAAAGGTCAACACTCAGTAAAACTCGAGTATTTTGCTTTGTTCGAACAGCAATGGATGATGGAAGGCGAAAGCGCATCTGCTATTGAAAGCAAAAGGGTATTGAGTCCGGTTCCTGCATAAACTACGTCCTGTCCTACAAACAATGGAGCTCATAACAAGCCGATATTTATTCGGGCGATAAATACATCAATACAACACAAGCAGTACACAAACAACACGCTGCCGACGTGACGGCCCCGACCGCAGGGTCTCCGTCGAGCCGCCGGCCAGTCGGGGCGGGGCGCCAGCGGACGCTTCCCCCGTCTCTGTATGTATATCGGGCCGGGGCGCCTGAAACAGTGCGGAGACGTCAGCTGTCGACTCGTACAGACTTACACTGGACCTGCCTGGGTAGAGGCCGCGCAGATATCGCAAACAACATTCCACTTCGGAGTTTTTGTTGATGTGTGGGGACAGGGGAAGGATATTAGGAATACGGCTATGCGGCACATTGCAGTGCGGGTAGGTATTGTTTCGAGAAGTTAAAAACTACCTATTTTGAGTTATCGCAAAGCGGTGATTTGACGGTGCGAACAATGGACAGTGCACAAGTTGACATTACCCGTACGCACGCTGTTCTAAAGCTGCTGACTCAACACCACGAAACTATTCGCCCGTCATCGTCCACCTCCCCTGCCTCCCAATACCCCTCCCCACTGGGCAAGTTCCGGGAGTGGCCAGCCCTCGGTCCGTACCCAGCTGAACCCCGGCCGGCCGGCTGGACGGTCGGTCCACACACCACCAGTCGGTCCCCGGCGGCCACCGCCAGCACCGGCCACTAATGGTGTGCTAGAGCGGGGCTGTGCAGCAGCCGGCAATTAGCGATGTGGGCAGGATGAGGAGAGAAGGGAGGGTTCGTGCAGGAGGCGGAGCTCCTCTGGGCTGTCTTTACACTGTGTGGCTGTCAAATGTGTGGTATGTTGTTTGGTAAGGAAACGACTGGTTGGTGTAATTTAGGTGAAATTTACATACCCCAGCTCATTGTTACGGTCACCTTATATATCCCAGCGCAGATAGCCCACCTGTGTTGTGTAGTGTATCGTAGTCTTCCTATACCCAAGCACCACACCACCTCCCCATCACTCACCCATCCTAGACCATTCCTGGCCATCCTAGACGTCCCGCTGGTGTCCCCGCAGGCCGAAGGCGGGTGGCACCAGTAGCACCAGCACTGCCAACACCAGGAACAGGCCGCCGCAGCAGAACCGCAGGTGGTGCGCCGTCTCCTCCCGCGAGTAGGGCCACGCGCGCACCAGGTCCCACACCACTCGGCTGAGGGCAGGGCAGTGCGGAGGGACGTTAGGGTACACTCACGGGTTAGTGGTCATGTGTTGTGGTGAAGGATGTTGTGACGAACAATAACACATCTCTGTAACCCATGACATTGCACAAGAAGTGTCCGTACCTACTGAGTAAAGGGAAGGGAGAACGTCATTTTTGCAGCAACTTTGGTTACTTTATTTCTCAAGACTGCCTCCTCCCAATCTGCATTTGATCCTCCGCTTGAGCAATCGATGTTTCGTTTGTACGAGCGATATCATAAACATGGCGAATGAAGGATGTAAACATTGCGAAATGCGCTCACCCAGGTCGCTTTGCAGTGTTTCCCTTGCTCAGTGCTCACAGTACAGTAGTGCCACCTCTAACTGTACTTTGTCAACCGGCCGCTAGGTGACACTACCAGCCCCTGCCGGCCGCCTGAGGCCACCGGCCTGGCCTATCCTATCTCAAGGTTATGTCTAGTTCACTGGTGTCACCGTGGAATACGATTGTGCAATGCGGACATTGCAACCGTGTTATTTTTGCATAAGCATACACGATCCTCCTACTCTGCAATGCGCATTTCATAAATGATGGGTAGGCAGCATTGCAACGGACCCAGGCATTTTGAGAATTCACCGTTTTCACCGTCCGTCATTTCCATCCTCAGGACATTCAAATCTTTCTCCTCCACACCTCAACTCCCGGCTGGTCCGGTATGATTAGGCAACTTTATCCCATGCGGGAAGCTCCCATAGGAGTACTCGTAGACCCGTTGCCGGGTGCGGTGTCAGGGGACTGGGTAGCCTGTCCACTGGATGGGCTCAGCCCCGGCGACTCACCAGGGTGTTCGCCCAGACCAATGTCTCCCCCTAATTCATAACATCTTTCCGGTTCTGAAATAGGTCTTGTCAGACCGAAAGAGCCTAACACAACAAAACGAACAATGATCTAAAATAAATGCAATCAAAGATCTATCGTTATTTTTTCAAATTGATTCCGGTTCAATCTTCAAGGCCATCTCCAAGGCCATGGCCGGATCACTTTCTCGTTAGAGCCCGATTAGTATCGCCGTAATTCACGGTGACCGTATGAAAAGAAGCTGAACGCTGAGCAATAATCACCAGCATCGCATCAGCGTGATGATAACCGTAACCATGGTAACCAGCGACTCACCCGGCGATGGAGGTCTGTTCGACGACTGCTCCCGTTTGTCGGGAGAGCAGCGTGCGCAGGTCATTGGCCAATTGCTCCTGTTCAGAGCGCAGAGAGGCCAGCTCATCCGAAACAGCTGACTCCACGTGTGACCTCAGCCTGAGGACACGGCGAAGGTCAGGGGGGGGGGGGGGTCGATTAGGCGATGTATGTGTGTCTTTAATTAATTAAATAAGCATATTGGTATGTTCCATGGTGAAAAGTCCAAAGGTAAAATCAGCAATCAACATATGCTTATGACTGCAGGTCGATGGCTTGTGTGGCAGGCTCGATAGAATGTCGCCGGCTGACCCTCTGTGTCCTGGCTGGATGAGAACTGGGCCTCGTTTCATAAAAGGAATTACTTACGGCGTTCCGTCAATTATGCCAGATTTGGCGTATTTGATGCCAATTCGGTTTCATAAAGCCGGAGACCGGAGTAATTTACGCCATCGAAATCACGGAGCTTCATTTACGGCAAATGCTCGATTCCGGACCAATTGATGTCATTTGGGTTTCATAAAACGACGTATTTAACGCCAAATATTTTATCAAGTTCTTGATATCAGTGGTGTAAACTACGCACGAAAATGTTGCGTGAATTTGAATTAATGTGAAGATTCGAGGCTAATTTTTGATATATTTTATCATGTTGAGCCCGGTGAGGAAGAAAGAACAACCAAAATGAGACAAAGAAACTGCAAATCTTCTGTACCAGTCGTTTTTTGTGGCCACTATCAGAATTTTGTTTATTCGCCGCGCCGCGCCACTTTCGTAGTAAGGCACTTCTGCTTAGCTGGCTTTCTGCTATTTTCAATATATTGATTTAATAAAGGATGCTCATCAATATCAATTTTGTTTTTTCATAAATAATTTTTAAGAATAAAGTTCAACATAATTGTTTTATAATTTCTCGTAAAAAAATAAGAGTTGACACGAAATTGTAATTTGTAGGACGCTTGATAAATTACGGTAACTACGCAAATGTGCTTAGTTACGGAGGTGTAAACAATTCCAGTTGTGGCTTTGTGAAACCCAGGGTATATAGAACAACGGGTACACCAACGACGCGGAAAGCGCCCATTTTACCTGGATGAGTTACATGGAAAGTGATACATTTTTTGAATATGGAATAAATAGAGTATTCCATTCTGACGAGTAAAGCCAAATTCATAAAGCAGTTATTTTTAAATTATATGAACCAGAAATAACATACTAACCATAGTTTAAAACTTAGAATAAAGTTAGTTGAAAAGGCTATAGTTGATACTAAGATGGAAGGAATCTATGGAAGGCGGAAATGGCGCAGCTGTTTCATTCTTAATATGTGTTCGCAAGCAGGATTTACGTGATACTAGCGACATCTATCAATGTAATCGGAGACGCTCATTGGCTGATCGTGTCCGTGAGCAGTATCGCTAACTTACGCTAGTACAGGGTTGAGGCAATGTGCGCATGCGCAGGAACTAGTGCCCTCATGGAGGGGCTTTTGGTACCTTGGGCAGCGCCCAATGCTTTTTGGACCTGTTATGGCCTCCGCATCGAAAAACGCTAGATAAAAAGGTTGTAGAGGAAGCTTTAGACTACCTTTCCCCACAATAATATTGGCAATTTATCTTTTAGCTTACGTGTGGGGCTCGCTTGAAAAAGGTCGATTTAACATGTAAACCCTATGGGGTAGTAGTTTTTTAGCGCCCATTTGGCCTAATGCTACCAACTGTTACTGGCTACCCCTGGTGAAACCGGACATGCCTAAGAGCTGGACTTTTTGCACGCGTTCCCCGCCAGGGGGCGCCACTGAGGAAGCACCCTCTGACGTCACGTTAAAACTGCGCGCACTGTGCGCACGGTTCTGTAAGCAAGTAATATAGTGGTGGTTTCATGGTGGAAATTGGAATAAGTATTTTGACGTTGTAAAAATTCAAGCCGTTTTTGTGAAATTAATTAGTAACTGCATTTCAAAAGTATTTATTTAAAGTGTGAAAGGAGAATAATTAGAAGAACATGGATATTTTTGTTCCAATAGCTTATTATGTGAGACATGATCGGTACAAACGGGTACTTCTAAGAAGTAGTGAAGAAGTACCAAACAGCCTGCTCGGCTACGATCGTCAGCTGTCCTTTGGAGCTGGACTTCAACGCTGTAAAAAAAATATGTGCGGAATCAATTTTTAGTTTCACCAAAATATAAGCAATTTATCATTTCTTTTTCACTTTTGTAATTATTGTTGAGTGAAGAAACATGTTGCTAGTTCTGACAATATAAATTATTAATTAAAAAACGAAATGCGACGGTAAGTATCTGCTACTAAATTATCACTTAAACCAAATACATGGAGAATCTTGCTACGATTGCTTATAAAACGTGCTTATTAATACACAAATATTTTATTTCAGACAAGAAGGATTTATTTGCCTGAAGTCTTGCGTCTGTGCTACTGCTTTGATTCCAAAGACGCTCTCCGGGTCGGGGTAATTTAGTTCTTAATCGATCGATGAGATTTTGATTCCATTGATATCCAAATTGATAAGCTCGGCACCATGGAGTAAGGGCGTCCCCACAGGGGTGACGCAGGAAATATGAATGGCGTTTACACCGACAGTAGTTTCCTACAGCCGGCAATGGGAATCTCCTGTCGGTGTAAACGCCTCTATAGTCCCATCCAGGGCTGCGGAGTCGACGGATTTTCGGCGACACCGACTCCGACTCCGACTCCGGCTTTCAAAAACCAGCTCCGACTCCGACTCCGACTCCGGGCAGAATTGTCGACTCCGACCGACTCCAACTCCCGACTCCGACTCCGCAGACCTTGCGGAGTCGACAGATTTTCGGTGACTCCGACTCCGACTCCGGCTCGGGTTTCTAAATTCGACTCCGACTCCGACTCCGACTCCGGTCACAACTGTCGACTCCGACCGACTCCGACTCCGACTCCGACTCCGACTCCGCAGCCCTGGTCCCATCCAACTCAAACACTGGGGAATATCCCCGCACTTTTGAGGACGGAAATCTATGGACCTGCTAAAAAAAATAGTGGATAAAATACGGCGACCTTTCAGTTTTATGGTTGGGTCTCCCTTCCGAGGCACATATTTACGGGGGATATTGGGTCATATTCCCCCGGCGTCCTGATGATCGGCGCCCAGCTCAACGTCGAAGGCGCCCTGATACGCGGCACTGCTAGCTATCTGTGAAGGTGCCCAGGCTGCTGCCGCTCGAATTTTGGTCGCCTATTTAACAAAACCTCCGTTGGTGCCATCTCAGTTTCCTCGAGGTCAGGCAACCTTCACACGCCGTTGGCTACCTTGGCTGGCCGGCGACTCGTTCCCCTCGTGGCGACGCTCTTGACATCCAGTCAAAACTTGGAGTGGTTGGCGCCCCCAGTGGGGGCCGGGGAAGGGGCAGTGGGCCTCCACGTTGCTCTCTTCCCGAGCCTATGGTGACTTGGCTCAACTCTCCTCAATAGAATCTGGATTCTGCACGCTGTATTAACATGGGCGTAGACACCACTACGGACAATACGGACAGTGGGTGTGACAATCAGTAGTGCCATTCATATAGAGGGTGTCATATATGAGCGGAGAGGCAACAGTACAGCTGAGCGGAGAGACAACATTAAAACAACAGTACAGCTGGCGTTACATGGAGCTGCAGGCAACCGGACAGCGGAGGCTTGCGAAATATAAACAATTCGTCACTTCAACGTATAAACAATAGTATAAAAAGCAACATAAACACATATTCTCATGGTCGAACCCATGCACTAGCGGCTCACGGCGGGCACAGGCACGCAGTGCGGTAGCGGTACCGGATCACACGTCATGGGCGTTGTCTCAGCATAGGTTGTTATGAGCGGAGAGGCAACAGTACAGCTGAGCGGAGAGACAACATTAAAACAACAGTACAGCTGGCGTTGCATGGAGCTGCAGGCAACCGGACAGCGGAGGCTTGCGAAAAATAAACAATTCGTCACTTCAACGTATAAACAATAGTAAAAGCAACATAAACACATATTCTCATGGTCGAACCCATGCACTAGCGGCTCACGGCGGGCACAGGCACGCAGTGCGGTAGCGGTACCGGATCACACGTCATGGGCGTTGTCTCAGCATAGGTTGTTCGCAATCTAGTTGAAGCCTAAGAAGACGGCCAGTGGGGTCTCACTGCTGCTGAGGCGACCTCGGAGACGATGCGTCGCCCCTCCTGTCGGCGACCTGCGGTGAGCAGGACTTCAGATAGCTGTCTGGCACGTTGCCGACACTGCCAGACGCTGTCAGCAGGCCTCACTGCTGCAAGTGATGTGCAGATGGACGCCAGGTGACTTCGTCTGCAGGCGATTCCGGAGACCGCGGCCTCACCAGGCAGTACCACCTGCATCGCCATGTCGGTGTTTCTAGAAATGGAAAAATAACAGTATCGGTGAAGGACAAGCAATACAATGTATTCTGTTTTCCTCTCTTGCAGGTATACGCAATCTACAATTATCATTGTTCCTATTTCATTCAACTGAACCTGAAAATTCCATATTGGCACATTGTTTGACTAAATTTGTGTAGTTGGGAACAGACGCGACGCCACGGTGCGACGACTGGAGGGGACATTGACCATTTTGGAGGGGACGAGGACCATTTCAAGTCGATTCTTTCCATGCAACGCCATAGGCGTAATGTTAAAATTTTAAAAAGTGGAGGGGACCAGATCCCCTCCGTCCCCCCCCCCCCCTGTGGCGACGTCCTTGGTTGGGAAGCAGATTGTTTGAAATACATGTTTGGCTGAACAGTGCGGAAAATATTTCATTGATCACTATAGCTGCAACAAAAATACTGAGACAGAAAACATTTGCGCTTACCTGGCTCCTTAGTCAGTCCCGCACAACGGAAGTGGTACCATTTATCGCAGCTGTCGCATCCGACCATCGGTGCTGCACTGATGCTGCTGCACTCCCCACATTCCCAGTACCTTAGGAGCGTCTTGGCTGTGAAAAGATTACATGAGTCATGGCGCATACATGAATAGTAAGATGTTTTATATGTTTAACATCGCATAGCAAAGACACAACAGCTGGGAGTCAAGTGTAAGCCAAAGTGTAAGCCCTGCCATGTTTTGCAGACTGGATTTT